GACAATCCCCAAAACAGGAATGGTGGAGGCCACTGCCATTTTTTTTTCTCTACTCATCTTTTCTGACTGTTTTTACTAGTTTTGCATTTGGCTAGGGTCAGTGTCACTACTGGTAGCATGAGGCGATACCTGGACCCTACAGAGGTTGCACAGACAGTCCAACTCCTCCAGGATGGCACATCAATACGTGCCATTAGCAGAAGGTTTGCTGTATCTCCCAGCACAGTCTCAAGAGCATGCAGAAGATTCCAGGAGACAGGCAGTTACTCTAAGAGACCTATACAGGGCCGTAGAAGGTCCTTAGCCCATCAGCAGGACTGGCATCTGCTCCATTGAGCAAGGAGGAACAGGATGAGCACTGTCAGAGCCCTACAAAATTACCTCCAGCAGGTCACTGGTGTGAATGTCTCTGACCAAACAACCAGAAACAGACTTCACGTGGGCGGCCTGAGGGCCTGACATTCTCTAGTGAGCCTTGTGATCACTGCCTGGCACCATAGAGTTCGATTGGCATTTGCCATGGAACACCAGAATTGGCAGGTCTACCACTGGTGCCCTGTGCTTTTCACAGATGAGAGCATGTTCACCCTGAGCACATGTGACAGACGTGAAAGGGTCTGGAGAAGCCGTGAAGAATGTTATGCTGCTTGTAACATCGTTCAGCATGACCGTTTTGGTGGTGGGTCAATAATGGTCTGGGAAGGCATATCCATGGAGGGACGCACAGACCTCTACAGGCTAGACAATGACACCCTGACTGTCATTAGGTGTCGGGATGAATCCTTGGACACATTGTCAGACCCTATGCTGGTGCAGTGGCTCCTGGGTTCCTCTTGGTGCACAACAATGCCCGGCCTCATGTGGCGAGAGTATGCAGGCAGTTCCTGGAAGATGAAGGAATTGATACCACTGAATGGCCCCAAGTTCGCCTGACCTAAATCCAATAGACACCTCTGGGATATCATGTTTTGGTCCATCTGACGCCGCCAGGTTGCACTTCAGACTGTCCAGTAGCTCAGTGAAGCCCTGCTCCAGATCTGGGAGGAAATACCCCAGGACACCATTCGTTGTATCATTAGAAGCATGCCCTGATGTTTTCAGGCATGCATACAAGCACGTGGGTGCCATACAAACTACTGAGTACCATTTTGAGTTGCTGCAATGAAATTTCAGCAGAATGAACTAGCCTGCTGCATAATTTTTTCACTTTGATTTTTGGGGTGTCTTTGAATTCAGTCCTCTGTAGGTTGATAATTTTCATTTCCATCAAATGATGGGGCATCCTTATGTTCCATAACACATTACCCAGTCCATATCAGTATATATATCCAGCATGATATTTTCCCCCATTGAGATCTGATGTGTTTCAAAGTGTTCCTTTAATTTTTTTGAGCAGTGTACCTTGATTTTCTTGTATGGTATTTAGCAGGCAGCTTGGACCAAACACATCGTAAAGCAGGATAGTTAAGATACCTGCTGCTATCTATTCCTCCATGCTTTATATATATTAACAATGTTACTTTGATTTTGTGAAAATTATTTTTAAAAAAAGCTTTTGTTGCAATACTAACCTTATCCCTGGCACTGTCCACTGAACTGTTCTGAAGTTCAGCACTACTCCTTATCTGAGCTGAATAACATCCAGCATCATCCAACCCACTTCCCATGATCTAAGGCTGTTATGAAGACCAATCCTAAGGATGCATCCTGAGGACTGACAATCATGAGATTGAGTACAATCAGGGGCGGACTGACCATTCGAGCACTCAGGCACTGCCCGAGGGCCCAGGGTCAGTAGGGGGCCCCATGAGATGCCCCTGGTACCTTTCATTGGCTTTTTCATAGGCTTTTTTGGGTATGGGTGAGGACACAGGGGCCCCATGATCCCCTATTGTCCAGGGGCCCCATGAGTTGTCAGTCCGCCCCTGAGTACAACATGAAAAAATTGAAGCTTGGGCTCACCATACCCCTGGACCGGAGTAGAAGCACCCAACGTCCCCACCAAGGAAGAAGAGTAAGTGTCCATGATGTCACTAGACTTGCCTGAAGAAGACTGTAGAAACAATAGTAATAGAAAAGAATGGTCCAGGGTGGCTTAACCGCCTCCCGCTCGCAATATAAGGACATTATGGGAGGGCGGTGGTTCTCTCATTCTCAGGGGATTGTATATGGCATCCTCCCACTCTAGCTGTGCATGCACGCCCCATCAGTGTAGCCTCATCAGTGCCACCTGTCAATGCCCATCAATGCCACATACAGGGGCGTGTAGCAATCGTACCAACAGAGATGGACACGGTTCAACCATTTTGCTCCAACCTCCATCTTGGCAAAGGATCCTCCATCTTGTACAAATATACCTCTCCTCATCCCCTCCCTCTCTGAGATCCACAGTGACATGTGGTCGGTGTGTGTGTTGGAAGTGTCACAGGCAGGCCAGAGCACAGCAGGTAGCTCCGAGCTATAAAACCTCTCTGAGCTGGGTACCAGGCGGTCTAAGAAACTGTGCAATCTGGCACCTCGTAAAAGGATAACCCAAGCCTTCCCCTGAGTTCAAAGACATTCCAGGGGAGTCATAAACTAGATACCACTTTTAAACTCCATTTTCCCCCTATGTGTCAGGGCTCCAGGGTATGACCAGAGGTATGTGACTGACGCAGGGAAACACAGGCTTCAGATAAGTTATAAACAATATAATTTATTAAAGACTAACAATACAAACATAAACGCAGTGCAATACTAAAACATAACACAGTGCAAACGAACCAAACCACCCACAGATAACAGTACATACAATGCAAGCGTCCTCAGGCAGGCCGGGTCAATAACAATCGGGCAGGTAGGTACAGGGGGTCAGGCAGAGAATGGTCGGGGGTCACAAGCCAGGGATAAAACAGGAGAAGTCAGCAGAGGTCCGGATCAGGCAGGGTCAGCAACGAATCAGAGACAGGAACAGGAACAGGGATGCAGGAACAAGATACAGGGCCCAGGAAAAACACACACCAAGGCCGAGACTGCAGGTCTGGCCATCCCTTAAATACACCTGCATGATCAACTTCAGGTGTTTGACTGGCTGCAGGGTTGAGTCTCTGATTGCTGGGAGCACCCGCTGGCCAGCCCTGGTACTGCAGCCCACAAGGCAGGTGAGTCCCACCATTACTGGCCAGTCCATTCCTGACAGTACCCCCCCTCCCTCAAGGAGCAGCCTCAGGACGCTCCAAACAGTCCTAGCTGGGCAAAATGTTCCACCGCCCGGGTCTGGTAACTGGCGGGATATCAAAGACTGGCACATCGGGCAGGACTCCGGGCAGCGGCACATCGGGCTGGACTCCGGGCAGCGGCACACCGGGCAGGACTCCGGGCAGCGGCACACCGGGCAGGACTTCGGGCAGCGGCACACCGGGCAGAGGCACATCGAGCAGGACTCCGGGCAGCGGCACATCGGGCAGGACTCCGGGCAGCGGCACATCGGGCAGGACTCTTGGCAGTGGCACATCGGGCAGGACTCCGGGCAGCGGCACATCGGGCAGGACTCCGGGCAGGACTCCGGGCAGAGGCACATCGAGCTGGACTCCGGGCAGGACTCCGGGCAGAGGCAGATGGAGCTGGACTCCGGGCAGAGGCACATGGAGCTGGACACCGGATCGGCAGGCACCAGGCAACCAGGCGGAGCGGCGGGCGCCGGGCCACCAGGTGGAGCGACAGGCATCGGGCCCCCAGGCGGGGCGACGGGCCCCCAGGCGGGGCGGAGGGCGCCGGGTCCCCAGGCGGGGCGGCTGGCGCCGGGCCTCCAGGCGGGGCGACAGGCACCGGGCCCCCAGGCGGGGCGACGGGCACCAGGCCCCCAGGCGGGGCGATGGGCGCCGGGCCCCCAGGCGGAGTGGCGGGCGCCAGGCCCCCAGGTGGAGCGGCGGGCACCGGGCCCCCAGGCGGGGCGACGGGCACCAGGCCCCCAGGCGGAGCGGCGGGCACCGGGCCCCCAGGCGGGGCGAAAGGCACCGGGCCCCCAGGCAGGGCGACGGGCATTAGGCCCCCAGGCAGGGTGACGGGCCCCCAGGCGGAGCGGCGGGCACCGGGCCCTCAGGAGGGGCGGCAGACACCGGGCCCCCAGGAGGGGCGGCAGACACCGGGCCCCCAGGTGGAGCGGCGGGCACCGGGTCATCAGGCATGACAACGGGCATCGGGTCACCAGGCATCAGGTCATTTGGCTCGCCAGTGGGCACCGCGTCATCTGGCAAGGCAGTGGGCACCGAGTCACCAGGCACGACAGTGGGCTCCGAGTCAACTGGCATGACCACGGGCACTGGGTCAGACATTGGATCGTCTGGCTGGACAGCGGGCATCGGGTCACCAGGCATCAGGTCATTTGGCTCGACAGCGGGCACCGCGTCATCTGGCAAGGCAGTGGGCACCGAGTCAGCAGGCACGACAGTGGGCTCTGAGTCAATTGGCACGACAGCGGGCACCGGGTCATCTGGCGCTGGATCGTCTGGCTCGACAGCGGGCATCGGGTCACCAGGCATGACAGCAGGCACTGGGTCATCAGGTACCGGATCGTCTGGATCGACAGCGGACACCGGGTCATCTGGCGCTGGATCGTCTGGCTCGACAGCGGGCATCGGGTCACCAGGCATGACAGCGGGCACTGGGTCATCAGGCATTGGATCGTCTGGCTCGACAGCGGGCATCGGGTCACCAGGTATGACCGTGGGCACCGGGTCATCAGGTACCGGATCGTCTGGTTCGACAGCGGGCACTGGGTCATCAGACGTGATAGGATCATCAGGCTGGATCAGTTCATCAGGTTGGGTACAGACATCAGGCTGGGTACAGACATCAGGCTGAAGTGCGGGTGCCGAGGCACCAGGCTGAACCACGGAAGGCAGGTTCTCAGACGGCAGGCTCACCGGTTTGGATACTGGCAGGATGTTACTGGTTGGAAAGAATTTCCGCTTTTTTCTGGTTTTAACTACTGGGGCACTGCAAGTAAACACAGGTCTGCAAACGAATGGAGCAGCTGAGGACAGAGAAGAGCTGGAAGATGGAACAGAGGAGGGAGCAGTTGCTACAGAGGACTTCTTTACAGGGTTAAAGAAAGGATAGGTGCAGCGAGTGGGAGCAGAGGACTGATATGTGGTAGTTAGAGTATACTGGGCAGTCACTGGGGGTGCTGTCGGGGATGCAGGAAGAGTGCCTTGAGTGGAGGAATGATGTTGTAAGCTGACTGAGGCTGGGTGCAACAAGTCTGACCATGTCTGCAGTATGGGTTGAACAAAGCTCAGCTTACACAAAGCCTATCTGACCAAAGACTGCACTGCGTTTATACAATCTCTTAGTACCTGTTGTGAACATGCAGAATAACGCTCCAGAAAGTAATCCACATCATCCTCTAATAACCATACCAGGGACTCTACCTGGTCGGCACTAAATGGCGGCAAAAATTCATCCCTGCATTCGGGGGTACCAGATGAAACCAACTCAGCACAAACCTAAATCAATGGCTGCACCTCAGAGAATTCTGTGCCCTGATCTACTAGAACATGAGCGATCCGTATACACTCTAGCAGTTCATCCCTGGGATACTCCTTCAGAGTCTGATAAGCATATTCTCTGTCATCAAACACTAGCAGAGATAAATACACAACCTCATCAAGATCCATCCTTCCCAGCAACAAGCCAAGATGGCTTCCCTGTGCAGCCACTTCTGGTCAGGATTGGCCTTGGTGTAATGTCAGGGCTCCAGGGTATGACCAGAGGTATGTGACTGACGCAGGGAAACACAGGCTTCTGATAAGTTATAAACAATATAATTTATTAAAGACTAACAATACAAACATAAACGCAGTGCAATACTAAAACATAACACAGTGCAAACGAACCAAACCACCCACAGATAACAGTACATACAATGCAAGCGTCGTCAGGCAGGCCGGGTCAATAACAATCGGGCAGGTAGGTACAGGGGGTCAGGCAGAGAATGGTCGGGGGTCACAAGCCAGGGATAAAACAGGAGAAGTCAGCAGAGGTCCGGATCAGGCAGGGTCAGCAACGAATCAGACAGAGACAGGAACAGGAACAGGGATGCAGGAACAAGATACAGGGCCCAGGAAAAACACACACCAAGGCCGAGACTGCAGGTCTGGCCATCCCTTAAATACACCTGCATGATCAACTTCAGGTGTTTGGCTGGCTGCAGGGTTGAGTCTCTGATTGCTGGGAGCACCCGCTGGCCAGCCCTGGTACTGCAGCCCACAAGGCAGGTGAGTCCCACCATTACTGGCAAGTCCATTCCTGACAGTATGTCTTATATCTTGGAATATGAGAGACTTACATAAAAACCAGGCATATCTTCAGATTGCTCACGATCAGACAAACCGTTTGATATGTCACACTCCTTGGCTGGAATATATAGGAAAGCAGAAAATTACATCTCTTAAACCATTCAAGTATGTAATTCATATTTCATATCTAACCGTTCCTCAGATGCGTCTGCATATTAATCTACCCACGGGTGGAATGTTACTTGTGCCTAGGAAATGTTATGAGCCAAAATATAAGCTAGGAGAGATTTTGGTTCTAGTTTGGGTCTCCGCCTAGACACCCCTCCCCAAATGAGGCATTGGTCCTTGGCTTCAGAGACACCCCCTGCTGGGGCCTAGGCTGTCAGGCCTAAGAGTGGAAGTTGAAGAAATCTCCCTTTGAACATCAGAACCAACTTGGGAGATGGTGCCCTTTTGCTCTGAAACTTGATCTGCTTAACCCAGGACTTTTGGCAAGTACTCTACCTCTCTAAACTTCTCTTTCTGTTACCTTTTTGCTGTGCTATTGCTCTCTGTATTTATATATATATTGGTTACATCTTTTTTCTGTAAATATTTTTCTTGCACCCTTTTGGCCTTTTAATAATAAATCTTTCTTTCTGAAAGTGTTGAACTGTTTCTATAGCTCTTTAATGCAACTTACGAATTCCTGCCACTGAAGAGTGCTACTATGTGTGTTTAACCCTCTGTATAATCTGTCCACAGTGATAGTGGTATACAGACGATTATCCAATCATCATAGTGTTATTGCTGATATTGCCGAGTTTCCTCTTTCTCTGTACAAAAAGGAAGTGGTGGCAATGTGAAGGGTTAATTGCGTAATTAACCTGACCCAGTAACTCAGGCTGCCGGTACATCGATTTGTGGTCCATTAGCTGGACAATCGTTGTGCAGGGTGCAGCTGGGCGTGGCATTGTTACGCATGTGATATCGCGGTTTTAGATTGGCTAGTCCTTCGGTCACGAGTTTGGTGAAAAGGGCAGGGGTGAGGGCGCCGCGATCGTCACAGGGTGGACTGACCATTTGGTAACTCGGGCACTGCCTGAGGGCTGGGGGTCAGAAGGGGGCCCCATGAAATGCCCCTGGTACCTTTTTCATAGGCTCTTTTGAGTTTGGGCAAGGACACAGGGGCCCCATGATCCCCTATTACCCGGGGGCCTCATGAGTTGTCAGTCCGCCCCTGGCCACATACCAGTGCCCATCAGTGCACATCAATCCCACATATCAGTGCCCATCAGAGCGGCCTTTCAGTTTAAACTATCAGTGCCAGTCAGTGCTACCTATCAGTGCCCATCAATGCTACCTATCAGTGCAAGTCAAAGCCGCCTATCAGTGTTCATCAGTTTCGCCTATCAGTATTCGTCAGTGCCGCCAACACTTCCAATCAGTGCCGCCTATCAGTGCCAGTCAGTGCTGACTATCAGTGCCAGATATCAGTGCCCATCAGTGCCACATATGAGTGCCATATATGAGTGCTGCCTTTCAGTGCCCACCAGTGATACCTGTCAATGTCCATCAGTGCTGCCTATCAGTGCCTCCTCATCAGTGCAGCCTATCAGTGCCCATCACTGCAGCCTCATTAGCGCACATCAGTGAAGGAGAAAAATTACTTATTTACAACATTTTATAACACAAACTAAGAAAAAACTTCCTTAATCAAAAATTTCAGTCTTTTTTAGTTTGTTTAGCAAACAATAAAAAAAAAAGTGGTGATTAAATACCACCAAAAGAAATCTCTATCTGTCTCAAAAAATGCTAAAAATTTTGTTTGGGTACAGTGTTGCATGACCACACAATTGTCATTCAAAGTGCGACAGCGCTGAAAGCTGAAAATTGGCCTGGGCAGGAAGGGGGTATAAGTGCCCAGTAGGCAAGTGATTCAGAAAGGTCCTAAAGAGGGGTACAGAAAAACCTGTAGCTGGTGTGTAGTTTTAATTTTTCTAGACAGAGGTAGTCATGGATGGCAGACTAAACCAAATTTAGGCAAGGATGTTTTCAGTTTATACACCAATAGAAATGGGTTCTCAGCATGTAATTTATCTTAGATTAGCTGCAATACATTACAATATGGTTTTGGCAGTTTTGTGCTGTTTGAAAATGCAGCTGGGTAAGCTACAGTAGAGTTCCATTTTGCAGACACTTTATTTTTGGGTTTAGACATATACATTTAATATAACACTGTGAACTTTTATGCCACTGCCAGATATGTTGCCCTCCTGCTGTTATTACTGCCACATACAAATGTGATATCTGTCAGCTTTCATTTTACCAGGAGCTTTAATTAGATATGTGCCTGTGCTATCTTACCTTTTTTAAGTTATATTAAACTTTGAGTGTCCATTTGAAAGGTCTTTGTAAAAATGTGTACATTCCTGGTGAATTCAGGTATATTCACCATGTTAAATTCACTGAAATTCAACATTAAGCAGATTTGTTTTATGAGGAATGTAATGTTAATGAATGGTCAGACAAGTGAATGTACAATGGACATTTAATATATGCTTAATTTTGGCAAGTCTACAGGGAATGCAGAGCGAATAGTTTCATATTATTATTATTATTATTACTACGAGTTTATATAGCGCCAAAGGGTTTGCTCAGCGCTGTACAATAGGGGGGACAATACATGGCACAGTACAACAACAACAAACAATGTACGAGGGGTAAGAGGGCCCTACTCTTACGAGCTTACAATCTAGGAGGGAGGATAATGCAGGTTGTGTAGGTAGCTAAATAAGAACAAAAGTCTCATAATTGCCTGTCATTGAAAATGGTCTTTTACCTTTATATATATATATATATATATATATATATATAAAATGTATTAGTCCACATTGCTGCATCGAAATATGTGTTAATAATATTTTTCTTACAACACAATGAAACCACTCAAAGGCATATTTATAGAGTGATGAACAATTGGTTCACTAGTCATTTACTGCTAAATTGCAGATTCACCTTTTGGGTCATTTACTTTAGTTATAAAGAAAATTTGAAGCCAGAACTCTTTGGATTAGACAGCATTCACAGCCCTTTGCCAGACATCTGGACATTCCATTTATAAAAAGGAGATCAAACCTCATTTGCTGCGTTCATAAAATGGTGAATGGTAAAGACCAGTCCTCTCTTGAAAATTGTTTTTTTTAAAGGATAAGTTCACCTTTTCATTTCCATTATTTTTATTGAAATGTTTTTTCCCCACAATAAATGGAGTAAAAGGGTTACAAAGAGCATTACAACATAACATTTCACATGCCACATACAGTAGGATAGACAGTTAGCATAATGGAAAATAACATTTTTGCTTATCTGATCAAAACAAAAGGCATGTTCCACTGATTATCTGGGTATCAGTAAATATTTGTGAGGCACGAGGGGAGCCCCCGTAACATGGTTATTACTCAACACTTTTGTGATCCTGGTAAATACCAGGTTACCTATACCTTACAGCTAATACCCAACAATGAGGTAAATAACTCCATAAAAATATATATATATATAACCTTACAAACAAAATAAGAAATGACTGAATAGGTGCAATATATGCCTAACAGCCCAATCATATTGGGCTACATTCCTTAAATTCAGGGAACATACCATAAATTGTGCTGTAGTAAACATTATCCCTGAGTTTGTTATAATACAGTTTTATGAATGAAGAAAAGGCAAGAGT